TTTATTCGCAAAACAAAAAATCTTACGTTATAATAAGTCTACAGACTATAATAAGATCATAATACTAGGGCCAACGATCCGGGATATTCTTTTTCCACATAGAGAAGGATCGAACAATTTATAAAAGAAACGCTGATACTTCTTCAGATAGGGATGTCTCATTTTACCATGTTTCTCGAATTATAGATGTGCTTAATGTGTTACAATATTATATTGAATGCATCTGAACCAGCCTCTTAAGTTGTGTAGACAACCAGGAGAGTTGAGTGGTAGACAAATATTCGACCTCAGCACGAGCATTGAACCCGCATTCTATCCATACAGTGGGCGCGTGCTACCATTACACCACCGAATCTATCGCTTTGCCACCACTGTTTCTTCGATATATCTTGTCTTAGCTATCAGTAATCAACCTTTAAAAGGTTTGGTTGGAAAAGCACCTGTCGCACTAAAATTGATATATCACATCACTACGAAAAAACCGCAGAAGAAATCTTAATTTGATGGTGTTCGCTCTGGTCGCTCTGTTTGCGGTAGTGGCGGTGGGGATCTTGGTTATGAAATATGCTATGTGCAACAAGTTTAAGAGTCTTTTTCTCAACTCCTACTTTGATAGTTACTTCAACTACAGTCATCAAACTATCACTGCAAGAGTGTGTTCTTCTTATGCAAAAAAATCGAATCAAACTACATCAAATCCACACGGGATCAATTTTCGCTCGAGGTTTCATTTTTTAAATTTTATCCAGCACTCTTGGATTAATTTAGCATCAATGATAAAAATTTGTGGTTTTGCGGTCTCGACCCAACTCTAAACGTCTTTTGTCACTTTCTCAAATATATAATTCCACCAATTTACGACGAAAAATAATCTGAGCTTGTTCGATTGTAAGGATTACACTACAGACGCGTTTCACTGACCTGTCGCAATACCATAAATTTGACAAACAGACAATCACTTTATTTTAGGTTCAAATATTCTACACTCATTTCTCATATTAAAGTTTCGGAGTTGTTAATAATAGTATTTCTTTGATGTAAAAGAAGGGTGTAACATGTAATGCAGTAGAGGTTGATAATACTGTTATTTTTGATTATAATAGTAAAAGAACACAGTGGCAAACAATAGTTGGCGTTCCAGCGGCTTCGCTTTCTTCAAAGACTGAAAGACTCGGATTGACATGCATCTACTCAGTCAAACGTTTTCATAACCAAAGCAGATAGAACTTATTATAAATGCTGTGAGAATGTTAAAAGCCTTTTCGAAGGTCGTAGTTCAGAGCTATACGTATGTTTCGTCAGTGTTGCCCTGCTTCATCAGTGGCCCACGCCCCTACACTTAACCGTGCTTTATAACAGAAACTGGGAGACGTCATTTATAGACATGCTATTCAAGACGCGTGCTGTTGTGTTACCACTATTTCGATGGATTACGGCTGGTAGTGGACGTGTACAAATCAGCCTCATCGACTGGGTTAGACTTCGTTCTGAACAGACTGAATATGTGAGAGTGTATAGAGCCTTTTCGAGGTTGGTAAGTCAGAACCATACGTACGTTTCGCGAGTGTTGCCCGCTTCATCAGTGGCCTATGCCGAATAGTGGTAACATGATATTATGTGCTATCACCATAAATAATGTCTTCCTGCCCTTACTATAGACCAGGGTTCAATACGGAGAGTGCGTCACTGATCTAGTGAGCGAAACCGTCGAAACGTACGAATGGCTCTGACATATCAACCTGGAAAAAACTCTGAGCATTCTCGCAGACTATATTGGATGTATAAAGAGAAGTTTATAAACAGTCAATGAGAGAATCAGTACATAAGCATTGGATCGCATGGTGAACAGTTTCTTCTATATACTCAACGTTTTCTTGTTCCAACCCAGTACTTAGTTTGGAAATCAGAAGTGGCAGACACCAGCTGCCGCGACCAAATTGGAGCTGCATTCATTTATTTTGAGAGGAACTTTTGTAAGATGGCAAGCGTTATTTTCCTATTAATCCACCGGCTTCTTCTAGAGTTGTCTGCTTGTTGAAACAGACTATCTCCCTTACGACCCAAAGAAAATGGGTGTTAAATTCGCGTTTCTATTAGTCCACTCACCGCAATACAATGAATCATGTTACGAAGGAAACAAGGCGTGATAAAAGGTGAAAAACGAACTGAATTGAAAGTGAAGAGGTCAATCCTCTGGAAACTACTTGTGCTTTAAGCCATTGATTAATTGCTGAGGCATCTAAGTCTATCATGAGAACAGATTAGATCTACATGAAATTTGTTGACCCACGTGTTAAGTTAGTTTCGCTCCAGAACAAGTTTAGCAACAGCTAGCCTTTACTGTAGAAATGGAGGAAGTATTTGATGCGGGTGTAGTATCGAATCAAAGACCACCTATTTATTGCAGGAACCTTTAACCACTGTACTAAAAGCACCTTCATCACAACCAATAAAAGTTAAGTTCTCGTTAAGCTGTGAAACAGTTGGGGTAGAGAGTGTAAAGGTTGATATTTTGTCGATACAAATGAATTTGTATTATTTTAAAAAGAGTTATTACCGATAGAAGGAGATCTTTCATTTGATTTCTTGTTGTTTCAATAGATTTCTTCGTTATTATATGAGTCAACATGTCATGTGGTTTGGTAAATGGGCTCTTGTACGGCCTGATACACGTGTTTCGATCTTAGAGTCTCGTCAGTCGGGCAGAACCCGTCGTCTTTCAATCCTTTTTAGCCAGTCCTCTCTGGATGCTCCAATGCCCACACTAAGAGGTCTCGAGGAAAAAACGCTTTACACTGTACGTCAAGTGCGAATATCACCAAACTTTCAGTGCTGGACATCGATTGCTCATTGGCTGGTATTTTTTTCTTGTTACTGTTTGAGCCGTTTGGCGCTATTCATTCATAGTTCTACCCAGCGGCATGAAATCCTTGAAGAAAACTTTTGAGTTGCTACAGGTCTCTTATCAGTTCTGTGAGTTCAGCCAGAGTTTGTAATTGATCAATTAAATGTTTCATTGCGAACAAATCCTTCATACTTTTAATGCTTGTCAGCGAGATAATCACTTTGGTTAAGTAACTTCGATTGCCGCAAAAAGTATTTTCAACTGAACTGTCCCATAAAAAGTGGATGTGATGACATTGTGACGATGAAGAGGAAAGGGTGATTAGCCATAAAATATTTCATTCCATCAGGACGAAGACTTTTATAGGACATCTTGGTTCGTGTGGTAGCCGCCGCCGTGGTAGATTCCTCATTCGTCTGCAAATTTCATATTTAATACAAGGAAAACATTCGAATCACAAGATGCTATTTCGTACTTCTTCCATAAAATTTCTCAGAGAATTTCTGGCTTTTCAAGGAGTAAACCATCCAATCGTGGAATTTGAATTTTTCCATGTTTTTTTATTTGGCGTTCTGATTACAGACGGAGAGAGGCTAACTTGATGCAGTGTACAGTGGTTGCAACGACAAGAATCGAACGAAGACAAAGAGAGTAATTTAATAAAAAACTATCAAAGTTCGTGGCCCTGGATGGATTGAGAAAACCAAGTACTTCATAATTTTGGCGCGGATGTTCCTTCTCAACATTATTTCCAATGTTATTACCTCACTCACCTCAATTATTGCTCTGTGATTAGCATCTGAAATGTATAGACGAGGCGACTTCACTATAACCCTAAGATCGGCCTTGCTGGTAAAAATATCAGTGATTAATAATCTCATCAACGCTGACTTCAGATTGAAATCCGTCTCAATCTTTAACTTAGGGATTATTGCCTAAACAACGTTCATATTCTACGCTCAATATATTAAAATAGTCATTCATTCTCGATCTCTGAACTCAAGACCCATTAAAATGAAAAAAAAAAACCAAGTACGTAACAAACCGTTAAATTAGTCAGCTTCAAATCACTAAGCATGTGCATAAATGTTCTTCCGTACACTATGTTACGAAGCGAATAAAGACCAAATCTAGAGGAAATCGGTGTTTACAACGACCCTCAAAAAACAAAACGAACGCAAATCTTCAGACCTTTTTTTCGGTAAGAATATGTTGAATGCATATCTGGTATCCTTATATGGGAGTGATAACACCATCATATCCTCATTCTCAGCATAAAGCCTTCTGCTGCTTCAACTTTCATGTAATAAACCTGGAATTATTGTATTAATACCTAACAACTTATAAGGTTTGGTTGTTATTGATGCCTCCTGGGGAAATCACCGTATTATCATTGAAATAGGGACAGCCTTTGATGAATTTGTCGTTCATGTAAAAAGCACAATATTTCTTTGTACATAGGCTTGCCGAGTACGTTACAGTACTAATGATAACTTGTATTTGTAAGATTACACATCTTGATCTTTGGTAATTTCTCGGCTTAGAAGAAGGCGAAACACACGGCGTTAGTTGAGCTGAACGAATTTCAGAATAAAAACATCGGCTTTATTTAGTAAAAAAAATTGAAACGCTATTTGATTTTTTCGAGTCAGACGAAACTTGAACCCGCACCTTGCTCTATCCGGAAACGCGTGCTCTAACCCATTGCATTATTGACGCCCGTTTTGTCATCACTTTTTCTACGCTACAACGCATGTTCAGTCCAGCAAGCAACCGCCAACAGTTTGGCCCGGGTATTCGGTATTGCCATCAAACCCAATCACGTTGACAGATATTGGCTATTGGATTATCAAACAGAAATATTTCCATCAAACCACTTTAAGCGGTGGTATGATCTTATAGATTTACTCAGTGATGTAGAATGATGTTCAAAACTTTCGCATGAAGCTGAACTCTCAGTCCGAATCTCACTATCCGGGGGCGTGTACTTCAGCCCTTTGCACTACTGACACCCGTTTACCGTCTACTGACCAATACCATATCCGTCAGCGTTACTGGTGTTCAATGTCGTTACCGACGACCTGGGCCAAAACGTTGATGGTTGGTTGCTGACAGATAGATGCGCTGTAGTGTGGGAAGAGTAATGGCAAAACGTGTGTCAGTAGTGCAACGGGTTCGAGCACACGCTTCTGGATATGGTGAGATGAGGGTTCGAATCTCGCCTGACGCGGAAATTTTGCACATTGCTCTGCACCGCTTAGACCTGTTACATAATGAAGATTCCTAACTTTTACTTCGAGTGTTTTCTTAAGACCACAGCTCAAATTTCAATATGCCTAACAATCATTTTTGAGCCACGCATGTTAGTGTGGTCTCTTAAGGAGGGCTGACTTATAGAGCCCGATACACGTGTTTCAATCTTGCGATCTCGTCAGTCGGGCCATCGACATGCGTGGCTTAAAATGATTGCTAGGCATATTGAAATTTGAGCTCTAGTCTTAGGAAAACACTCGAAACGAAAGTTATTATATATTGAATATACTAGCCACGAGCAATCGAGTGTACAACACTCTGTGTTTGGTGAGATTTTCACTGGACATAGAGTGTAAAACGTTCGCCGTCGCTGACTCTTAGTGTGGAGACTGGAGCTCCCACACTGGATTGGCAAAGACGAGAAAGGGTAACTGCCCGACTGACGGGAGTGTAAGGTCGAACCACTCTATCAGACTCTACGAGAGACCACTGACATGCGTGGCTCAAAAATAATTGCTAGGCATAATGAGAATTCTATCTGAATTCCAGTCTAAACGATCTGACATTACGTCTAATGCACTTATCTCAAAACTTTTTGCCTTTGCTTCGCTTCCTCACCAACCATCATCTACAAGGGTCTTTGAATTTACGCGGGTGGGCTTGCCTGCTGCTTTCTACGATCTGCGGCTTACGTTAAAAAATCTTATTGAATGAAGCTGGAGTCGATTTTCTGTGGAGTACTGGACTGGGTGGAGTGGAAGAGAACGCTACCATTTGGACTGCATGATGTTAAGTGCTTGAGACAAGTCTACAACTAGTATTACGAATTCAGTGATACGGCAGGTTCAGTGTGATCGGGCGAAATCGAACCAGCACCGTTCTTATGATAAGCAGATATCACTATCACTGCTCTAGCTATCCACGAGTTCAAAAACTTAGCGAGACTATAAGGCATCTCTTAGATTACTGATATCAAAAGTAGACGTGAGTATGATGTGTTTTTTTTTAACTATCCCCCTACATTCCCTAAGTCCGATTTTGGCTTGCCTATCATTTAGTGATCTCCTCCTAAATATCTTTTACTTCATTATCTGTCTTTAACCGCGTTTGTTCTAGAAAACATAAAAGCAACGCACCTTTCTTGATATATTTTGACTACTGTAGAAGTCTGCTTCAAAAGTTTTCCTGTCTGAAAATTTCTCCTTCCATTCGGCAGAAAAATAGATAGCGTTGATGATGAGCGAGAAAGATCCTGCAACTTTGCTTCCAAAGAAACAATTATGTTTTTGTACATCAGATTTGATATGCACAAGTGCGTGGGTGAATATAGCGATGGAAGTACGGAAGAGGTACGGCAGCTGCCTTGGCCCTACTCACGATCGAGCATGTCATCCCTCCGACAGCAGCAAGTTGACGCCGGATTTTCGCAAAAGAAATTTCGTCTTTTTCACAAAAGATGGTACATGCCCGTAATGAATACTTAATATTGTTGCACCCAATATTAGCTTAGAATGCGAGGGAGAATTAGGCTCGTTTACTATCTAAATATGTCTAGAAATAAACTTGGCTTTTCCCTATGCGAAAAAAAGGAATAAACATTCTTTTCATTGGACAAAGACTTTCCATTGCACTATTAGTAATCGTTCAAAGCTTAAATTTCCGGCGACTGCGTAAACGCTTTTCGAAAAAGCCTTTTTATAATGCTGTAGGAGGAAAACGTTTGTGTTCACACAGGCTTATTTCCCACAGGACAAAACGGTTTCATGGATTTATGAGCAACCATTCGATAACGTACGTTTCGGCCATTCCATCAGTGTGCTTGTTTTCTGGAAAAACCGTTTCACTGTAGTGTAGCAGAGAAAATAACACTGAGTTTCACATACGTGGCGCATTTCTTGGTTGCCTAATATATGTCATGAGGAGGAGATTCCATAGTTGGCACGGCTCACATGTGGAGTGCAATTCTTGTTATATTATTTGTGTTTCTTCGCTTTGAATAAAACTTCAGATGAAACGTATGGCTCTGATGCTATAAGATTTCGTTTACATGTTCATACGCTTTTCGTGGTTCCAGGTAATAGTAGAAGTGCAGGGCCGTTGTAAAACATTTTTTTATTTTTAAAGCTACAGCGTTATAAAAGGGTATTATCAAAAAAGGAGCACATAGCGCAGTGGCCAAAGATTAAAGCTTTCGATGATTGCTAATACTCTTGCAAAAAGTTCTTGTCCAATGAAAGGGATTGCTTCTTCATTTGCTCCTGAATAATGCAAAAGAACCATTAATCTCATGTTAAATTCCAGACAACGGAAACATCGTAAGAACAGGGGCCAAGTGAGAGAGGTGCTGGTATTTGCACAACGTGTGAACATAGCGCGAAAAGACTCACAACGGAATAAACTGATTGCTATTTAGTGTCGCTTTTCAGACGGCATTTACGAGTGCGTATACATATGGTTATAAACTACATTAATATTATACCTGATATACTGTCAGCTGTCACCATATCGACGATCTTTCCACCCGTACTTGCCCTAACAAAATCATCAATGATCTGAAACAGTATCAAAGGCATTCAGAATACCAAGACGATGTACCATAAAAAAGTACCTTTCCCGTTAGGTAGCACAGGATGAAGGGAACGATACCTTTCGCTGGACAAGAGCTTTTCATAAGAGTGTTACCATCAATCAAAATTTTAAATCTCTGGCTAGTGTGTTACAAAGCTGTCTTTTGAAAGAGCCTTTTTATAAAGCTTTAGCAGAAAAAAAGCTGTTTTGATTACGCGTTTTTCTCGAAGGGGCAGAGCTCTTCCGTTAGACTATCAGTAATCATTCGATAGCACAAGGCATATGTGGCATGTATTTTTTGGCAAACCTACGGATTTGAGGGAGAAGTGCAGGGAGGGGGGGGGGGGTCGCTGGCGATTTCAACGCGGTAATCGATCAATGGCGTCGATGCTTTAACACATGTTAAGTGCGATTTTTTGTCATTTACTCCTCGATTTTTTCTCTACTTGAAAGAAATTCTAGATCAAACGCATGATTCTGGTACTGCAAGGTTTTGTCTACACGCTCATATACATTTCATGCTTCCAACGAAGTACTAATAAAATTGCACGGCTGATGTAAAATGTAGTATTATTTTGCATTTTGCAGCTTTCTAGAAGGATCTTTTCAAAAGAATAAACTGTGCGTACCAAGGTAGCCAAAGATCTAAGCTCTTGAATGATTGCTAACACTCTTATGAGAAGCTTTTTTTCTTAAGGAAAAGGAATCGTTTCTTTATGCCGTACTACCTATCGGAAATGAGCCAAAAAAATTACTGTTATTGCTTTTTTAGACAAATCAGATCTATTTGAACTGTAGTTTCTATTGACGAGTCTTATATAACAGTTTGATAGAGCACGGTAAGGTGAGTATTAATTACAGGAATGTGGCCAACCTGAGCTGTTTGATTGGGCATTCCAAAATCATAACCTTCCACTTCTGCGTTAAAATGTTTTTCTAATGAACTCTTGATATAGCTTGTTGATGAGAAAACGTTTGCTAAAATGATGTTTTTACATTACAAAACACTCTTTAGTCTTGAAAAAGTGGAGAGGTAAGTGCGATAAGAAATTGTTTAAGGATGCAAATCACTTCAGTTTTGGTCTCCATGATGCTAACATTTATTGTTACTTATTTACTTGATACTTGAATGGTCCGTCTTCACTAGTTGTGCGGATCCCAGCACATATTTCAAATGGTATATTGCTGGTCGTGTATATAATATTCCTTGGTTTCCTGGCGTAACTTTGCAAGGACTTTTTCAGGTCTCAAGATGTCGTATCCCAGGAATGTGTTTTGGTACGAATCTTCGGCCGGGCTTCCTGCTAGTTGATTTGGAGATGGTGTTAAGCCGAAATAAAAAAAAAGAGGTGGAAAATAGGCCGAACCGCTCACGGATGACGTAGAAGTCGAAATTTAACTTTATTTCTACGTTGCAATATAGCTTATGACCTCATCATGACCGGCAGACAATAATGAATGTCAAATCACGACAAGTAGCGAAGGATTCATACCCTTAGGCCGTTTACCATTCATGGAAAAAAATCGTCCACTCGTGAGCTCAACTAGGCGTAAACTACGATGAGAAAACTTTGATATTTTTACACTGACATATCTGGGTAGGATTGCTAGCTAACAGAAAAGCGTAGTGAAGTACATACGCTTTTTTGATTAACATAGGCTTTTCAAGTAAGCAAGTAATGTAGCAACTTACTCTATAAAGAATCCGTTTGCGATCTTAGCCTCTACACCGTTTTCAGCTTTCGGGATATTTTTTGACAGCTTAGAATAGTGGTGCCTTATTAAACGATCGGATGCTCCTCAATATCCTTTTATATATGATAATATAGGAGCTATGCCATAATAAGTACAAGTAACTGGACATCTAGTGTTTAACTGATGCACAAAACCGTTCGTCTCAGGACAAGAGTTTAGCCCCTTTATCAGCCATAGCGCGGGCGCGTGCTATCAATACACGACCAAAGCCATCGCTTGGTATCACTCTTTCTTCGATGTGCACTATCGAAGCCGTTAGCAACTAATCTTTGACAGCTCTGGTCAGAAAAGTATACATCGATATAGAGTTCACTTGAGCTGACAGCTACTGGATATGTCAAATTGAGAACATTTAAATTGCTTCACTGCTTTCTAGCAGCATTATGCTCTTTTGAATACACATCTGAGAATGCTGAGCATTAAGCGAAGAATTCTTCAGTATTATACTCATACAATAGCTGTTAGCATGAATGAAACTGGCGTCGATATGTGCGCAAAAGGACCAAACCCTTCAAAGGCTGGTTGCTCGCAGCTTCAATTGTTTGTATCGAAGAAAGAGTGGTAGCAAAGCGATGACCTCCACGCAGTGTAGGAGAAAAGCGAGATGAACTCGAGATTGGGGACAAATGCTTTGCATTTTACTGAACACTCTTA